GTCTGGGTCTCAGACGGTGAGAGTGTCACTCACATCTAGTATGAGTCTTCTCACCTCAATTAACCCGACCTAGAAACTGTCAATGACATGCTCAGAGACTTGTTTCCATGGTGATTAAAATCTCACCAAACTGACAGTCAAGATGAACTTTTGCAGAGAGTAAATGAACTCAGGAGATGTGGGCTCAGAATCTCCCAGAGGCTGCAGCCTGACTCAGGTGGATGGTTGGTCTCTTCACTGTTTCCATGCGCCACTGTGCCCTCAGGGTACCTCCCACCAGCCCCTTCCCTCTCACCTTCCGCATCCAGTCTGCAGTCTTCTTGTGGGATCAATAAGGGAAGTAATAGTTAAGGAACTGATCTTTTCCTCCTAGAAACAGATAATCAATGATCTATAATTAAAATCAATCAAAACTCACTATATTTTCTATTATTTTAGAATCTTCGATGACTCGTCACAGTGACAGGAATATTTGTTCTGTGACTTCCCAGACTCCAGTGCATGCACTCTGTCCCGGGCAGAAGTCCGCACAGTTCCCTCATCTTCCTTAGCCTGGAATTTTCCCTAAAGAGAGAAAATGTCCAAAGGTGAGGAGGACCATCCCCCTTCTACCTGGAAGTGCTTCTGTCCTTATTCCTGGAGACTTGGATAGGGACACTAGCACACAGAGAAAACAGTGTTCCCAAGCAGTTATGTAATCAAGACCGCTGCACCACACAAACAGGCACGCAAACGTGTTGCCTTTTCGGTGTTTGTGGGGACCTATTGCGCAATCTGAATTCATTGCACTGACCTTGTAAACAGCAGTGAAAATCCCACTGAAAAAAACAGCCAGGGTTGAGCTGAGGGAGGACAGGGGAGAGGAGGTCATCCAGTAAACAGGCACCTGACCTAAGTTGGCCTTGTTCCTACCAAAGTTTCTGGACAAATAAATGATGCTCCCAAGGTTAAAAACCTAAGAGCTTGCAAATGGAAAAAAGAACCAAGAAAGGGATTGTGGGGAAAAGGAATCCAGGTCAACAACAGGTGAGAAAAACCACGTGTGTGGATGCCAGTGTTGGGAACAGTGAGACAGAGGAAAACGGTGTCTCTTGTTTCTCCTCAGCCTTGGCCAGACTGAGCACTCTCCTCCGAGGGAACAGGAGTCCTGGGAACACAAATGTGAAATATGGAGAGTTGGTACCCTGTGTTTTCTCTGCTTCTGAACAGCACAGACTGGTGTCAGGCTATGAAAAGAACCAGTCTGTCAATATGTCGTTGTTTTTCTCTACCAGCAAGGAACACTTTCAGAAGCCCAAAAGATCATGGCTGCCTTTCTCATCAAATGCCCCCAGGAACTCAGATGTGGGAAGCTAGCTACACTTTCCTGAGGGGCAGTGGCAGCTCAGCTCGTCTGACCCTGTGCTGTGGGTGACAGCACACTGCTTGGATCAGGTTTCCTTGAAGCCCACATGCCCCCACTGTGGGGGTACATCAGGCAAGAGAATCATTTGGTTTACACTGCCCAGAGGAACACACACTTCTGCACAGTAAGAGATTTAAGAGAGGATGTCAGGCCACTCAAGAGATCTAGGCCACCTCAAGATCCCTTTCCTGGAGTTGTGTCTTAGTTAGGGTTTCTATTGCTGTGAAGAGACACCATGACCACAGCAATGCTTATAAAGGAAAACAATGAATTGGGGTGACTTACAGTTTCAGAGATTTTGTCCGTTATTATCATGGCATGGTGGGACATGGTGGCATGCAGGCAGACATGGGGCTGGAGAAGGAGCCGAGGGTTCTACATCTTGATCCATAGGCAACAGGAAATGAACTGTGTCATTGGGCATAGCTTGAGCACAGGCGACCTTAAAGCCCATCCCCACAGTGACACACTTCCTCCATCAACAAAGCCACGCCTCCTAATGGTGCCTTTCCCTATGGGGAGCATTTTCTTTCAAAGCACCACCAGCTGTGTGACTGGCCCCTCTCATACCTGCACAGCCACCCCACTCAACACTCAGCCCTCCTGGGAGTTCGGGAACAGAAGTGAACAAAGGCTGTCTTGTCCCCAGCAGGGTGGTGAGTAGGAAAAAAAATGCAACTGTAACCTGTCTTCTGTTTACAGTCCCCTCTCCTTCTAAACACCTTTCACCCCAGCCTTCTTGTCTTAAAGAAAGGAAGAATTTATATCAAGCTGTGATGTATTCTCACCACCTGCAGTGGACCAATTAATTGTTCCAGGCTTTAAAAATTGTGTAAGAAAAAAAAAATAAACACAAACTCCAAACCACACACACACACACACACACACACACACACACACACACACACACACACACCAACGTAGTGATTTTAAATACACACTAAGTGAGTGACAATGTTATCTTTTATAAAAGGCCTTTAAATACAGACTCAGAAGAAAAACAATGGAAAATAATCATTTGGTATATTTCCCCAACATGTTGCCTTTTTACTTCTCAGTGTACATATTTTAACTTTGGCCAAGAAATCTGTCCTCCTGCTCATTGCTGATCAAGCAGCATCTCTAGGCACATCTGTCGCTATGGCAAAGGACTGGGAAGGATGGTGGCTCTGGCAATGTGTCACGCTCACACAAGTGTGGGCCTTAGCATTGTAAAGGATGGTGTACCACTAAATCAGAACCACAATGAGCCATTTCTGGAGATGCAAGCCTCTTATCCTTAAGAGTTGTAGGTGAGGGGCAAAGTCTGGTCTCAGCCGCTCTCATTGGACGGTGCAAGCATAATCCCAGGAGAAGTTAGAAGACAGACTTGAAACAGGCAGACAGTTATCTCAAGGCAACTCGCGCATGATTAACCAGGAGATGAATTATTCAGATGAGGGCTGCTGTGGGAATCCAGAGGAGGGAGGCTCAGTAGGCATGTATGATCCAGAAAATGCTCATGGAGAAGAGGGCAGACTGATCCTAACACTGGTCAGGGTTGGTATGAGCTGGGGAAAGTCACAGAAAAGGTAAAATGTGTGTCGAGGGCTCGAGAGGTTTTCTAAAATAGGGAGTCTGTGGTGTGAGAAGGTCGGGGTTCTACATTGAAAAGGTTTCTGTCTGAGATGCTTTGTTGAAACGCTGAGGGGCATTATCTATTTTATCCATATGGGGAAGGAGGGGATGCTGAAGGCCTTCGGATGGGTTGTGTTTCCTACACATTCCTGAAGGATGCCAACTCTAACAATGACTGTCATGTGCACACTGTGTGGTCAGCCCTACCCAGCTTGGTTTCAGGGTGGCCTTACTCCAGACCCTGTATCTAGAGAGGTATTTGAATCCTAGTGGTATTTTCCATTTTATGTTTTCTGGCCACCTATAGTTCAACCTCTCCAAACTAAGTTCCTAATCCTTATATAGCCTTGCGCTCAGTGGCTGCTTCTGCATCTCTCCCTAAGTTCATGCCTGCTTTCTGCAACTGGCTGGTTTTCAGGGTTGCAGGGCTAAGTCAGGTTCCATCCTGGCATTCTGGTGTTGTGGATAGTCCTGGCTTTTATATGAGAGGCACCAATAGGCCATATGTCTGGCTCATCTCTTGACAACGTTCTGGGTCACTCAATTCTTCTGCACCTGTTTCTAAGTGCCAAGTACCAGAGGAGCTTCTGGATTAGCGTGACAGTAATAATTCTGTTGTGCATCCCATCTTTCATATAGCCAACTTAGCCATGCTGACTATGGGGGATAAAGACTCCTTGAGGCTGAAGAACATATAATATTGTGTGAAACACATTAGAAAAAAATGGCTGCCATAAATGTAGTGAAGAAGTGTAGGCCTATGAGAAGTGAGACGATCTGAGCTATAGTAGAGGTCAGAATTTTAAAAAGTGATGTATGTGGGAGACTCAAGTAAAAGAAGGCCCAGGATGGGTGGAGCTGGGTGGTTTATTGGCTCCAGGGAACAAGAGATGACTGGAGATGTTTCAGGGTGGACTTTACAGAGAATGAAGAAGGATGCCGAAGGAGCTTTGAACTGGTGAATGGCTCAGTGTAAATTCATAACCAGGCAAAAGTGGGCATTTCTCAGTGTCTTCCAGAGAGAGGGATGGCCTTCATGGCATTTGAGGGAGTTTTCTGAGGTGTATAGTACCAATGCAGTAAGTTCAAATGAGTACGTTTGTTTAGGAAGAGGAAAAGGTGGGTGCGGTATCAGAGGGAGAAGAAGGAAAACCGAAGGAGAGCAAGACAGGGACGTTGATGTGAGATGACTCAGGGTCACAGATGTCCAGAAATAATGTGATTTCAAAACGAACAGAAGGCCAGCCATGCCCTCTACCAAGAGGTAATTGTGAATACGGAACAAGCTCACAGTTGAGTAGTGAGGAGCTCACTGCATTCACGGGCATAGCGATCTCCAGAGATTAGCTGGACCAAGGCAGCCAGGCTGTTCACACCACACCTCAATGAGTTTCCATCTGGATTACACTTGGGTGTAAGAGTTAAACCTGAGAAAGCTGGCAGTGAGAAGAATGAAGGCTGTATCTCTAATGCTTGTACTCTCCATCCATGTGTGTGTGTTGGGCATGCATGTCTGCATGCATGTGTGTGCATATGCAAAGGCAAGAGAAATCAGTATTCATAGTTATTCCCAAAGATGGAAATGACGAGAGAGAGAGGACTTAGTGACTGAGAAAGGAGGAAGATGCTGTTTCCTGGTCCGTCTCTTGACCTGTTTGTAAGCAGCCGGAGGTGAAGTTGTTTATCTTGAAGTAGGTGTATTTGTACTATGTCTGCACGGTGTGATGGGGGAGGCCATAGCACCCAACAGAGAGGGTGGGTTGTTTCCAATGTCGTCCTTGAGGCTACCATAGCAACACACCACAGGCTGCTGGCTTAGACAACAGAACACTGTCTCCTCACAGGTCTGAGATCACGTGCCAGCTCAGTTCCTTTCTGGGAGGCCTCGCCTCTTGGCGGGCGGCCTTCTTCTGTGACCTCAAGTGTCTCTGTCCTGCGCATGTGCCCTCCTGCCATCTTCCTATGAGGACAGCGGTCCTGCTGGGCTGGGGCCCGATTCTCATGTCCTTGTTTACCCTGAATTGCTCCTCGGAGAATCTCTTTCCAAGATCAGTCACACAGAGATCCTGGGCTTCACCATGCAAGCTTGGGGCAGAGCTCTTACTGCGACCTCATCCTTTGTCTCTAGGGCTTCGAGTGGGCATGGGAAGAGTCTGGCTGGAGAGGAAGCTGAATGGCCTGCCCAGTATGCTCATGAGGGCAGACGCACCTTCCCTTAGGTCTGAAGATGGTACAAGATGTAGACGGAACAGAGCGGTGAGTGGCCACAGGAAGGACCATGGAAACATCAAGTGCTCTAATCAGGCGTGCACAGGTTTCCCAAATGGGAAGAGTGCTTTCGTGGCACAGGAGGGTGTCTGTGGCACCGGAAACACGCGATGTCTCTAAGGGGAGCTGGGCAGCCCACTGTTCCCACAGCTGTGAGAAAGCGAGAATTGGGAGACAGTTAGACGGCGCTCTATTTGTAAATATTTGATTTTACTTGTTGACAACGTTGTGTACGAACACACTGTTCTTTGCCCCCTCCATCACCCTCTCTCTCTTCCACTGAGACAACTTCAGCAAGCATCCTCCTACTGCGTTATCTTTGTGACCCACTGAGTTTAGTAAAGGTTGCTTACAGGAGTGTCAGCGGGGCGGGGGAGGGGGGCGGGGGAGGGGGGCGGGGGCGGTGCTTATTTACTAGACCGTTCACAACTTATCAGCAGCTATGGTAGCACTGAATAAAGTGACACCCCCTCAGCTAGCACCCACTTCCTGCCGAGAGGGTGTCCCTCAGTAAGAGGTTTGGTCTCCTGAGTCCCTTCTCCATGCATGACAGCATGGTGACAGGCCAGTCTCGTGCAGGCTCTAACCTCTGTAGTAAGTTCCCGAGGGCAACAGCCATGTCATGTCCAGAAGACACTGTTTCCCAGCATTCCTTGCTAACATTTCTTGTCACCCCCTGTCTTTGGATAGGTGACATGTTGCAGTCCTCTTGTGACCCTAGGTTGGACGCGTTCCCAGCAGTCACCTGCACTGGCCCAGGCTTCCCCCTGACCATCACACAGCGTTGATAAAGTCAGTAGCCATTGGGCACGATGGAATGCTGAGTCCTGTCCCCACCATCTGCGATTACCACTGCACTCAATGTCACTCTCTGTCCCTCATGGTAAGACCGAGCTGCGGCAGGCTGGGTATCATCTCAGGCATTTCTGCTGTGGATACCAATGGAAGTGGGCGATCCACTGGGATCTTCATGGCTACTGGGCCATAGTCTAATTCTGATGCTCTGTGTAGATTCATCTGTAACCTGGATTTTTTTTAACTTCATATTTAAAAAAAAATTATAAGACACATTGTATAAAGACCTCCCCTCCCCTCTCTTCCCATTCTCTCCTTCCCCTCCCTTCCTCTCCCCTCCCTTCCTCCCTTCCCATCCCCTCCCCCTTCTCTTTCTCTAGCCTCTCCTCTTCTCCCCTCTCCCTCCCTTTTCTCCCACCCCGAGAGAGTAAATGGCCAGTAGCAGCAGCGTTTGGTTGGGAAGGGCCTCCTGGGAGTTCGGTCATTCACAGAAGCAACCATGTCCCCTGATGCAGTCCCTGTCCTTTCTTACAGCTTGTTAGTACATCTTTCATCCCAGCTTCTTCCCTGGTGCGCTGCTGGCACTCTAGGGCTTGCCTCTTCCTGCCTTCGATGCAGGGACCTTCACCTCCCTGGCCGTCTGTGAGGTTCAATCCCCTGGCTTTCTCAGCCTCTGCTTTTAAGCCAGGAATGCCCCACTTCCTTCCTCCACACGCATGCATCTCTCCTACCTCAGCGCTGGGCGAGCACCCCCAGACGAGGCGGAGAATTTCTAATGGAAAGCTGCTGGTAGCCTACCGTCAATGCAAAGCACCAGCCTTGCTTCCTGCCCATCTTTCTCTAACAAATCCATCCCCAGTGAACTGAACACTGGTGTAATGGGTTTAAAATGACAATGTTAGGAGAAACCTAGAGGCATGTATTACAGTTGCCAACAACACATCCTCCTGGATACATTTCCTGTGGTCTTGGATATTAAAAATGGATGAGGTCTGTGCATCGCTTAAGTTCTCTGTTGGCACGAGCCCTCCGGTATAGATCCACGCGGACACGAGCTCTATGCTTTACAGCACACTCCTTTCACTGCGAGCCCGCTCTTGAGTTTGAACTTGTTCCTGTCGAACTTTTCACAAGCAAGAGTCACAGGTAACGTGGCTCACGGAATGGGTAGTGGCTCAGTTGTCATTAGTGGCTAAGATGTATGCTGAGAGGCCACCCAGAGCATCCTTCTACGGGAGAACCCCTGCATCTCGTTTCCTAGGTGAAGGCAGTGCACCCGTGGGATACCTGACACGCATCCCGTGGCTTTGGAAGCTCGACCTTGAGGTTGGGCAGCTTCTGCTCTTGCTGTTCCCTCTGCCTGTGAGCTGATGCCACCGAGTTCCTGGGGACAGCAGAAGAGACAGGACAGGAAGTTCGAACGCTTATTGTACAGTTAGAGGTCAGGCATTAAACCAGGTGGGAATGCATAACCAAGGAGGCACCAGCAGTGGGGGTACTCGGCAGAGAGCCATTCCTAGAGAAGGGAATTGAAGGGGACATTGAAAAGGAGAGAAGTCACTGGGCGGTGGTGGCGCACGCCTTTAATCCCAGCACTCGGGAGGCAGAGCCAGGCGGATCTCTGTGAGTTCGAGGCCTGTCTGGTCTAGAGTGAGTTCCAGGAAAGGTGCAAAGCTACACAGAGAAACCCTGTCTTGAAAAACCAAAAAAAAAAAAAAAAAAAAAAGGAGAGAAGTCAGTAAGTAGTGGGGCTGGCTCGGAAAGACCGGCTGTGGGGGAAGGATAGCTACACACCCATCTAGGTCTTGGCCTGTGCAAGGCTCATCTGCAAGACAGTGAGGCCTGAGGCATGGAGGAAGCAAAGAGGGCGGTGTGAGGCCTCAGGGCTGAGGAGTTGGGGGCAAGCTCAGGTTTGAAATTTGTCAGCTTGATGAAGGTGCACACGGTATGGCCGCACATAGCCCGTCTACGTTTCAAACAGGGCCCTGCATCTTGGGAATGAACAGGAAGATGCAGGGGTGGATTCCAGCTGAATGATGTGTCAGTGGTGAACACTTGACATAGCACAGAGCGTGGGGGTGACTAAAGGCACGGGACAGGCATGGGCTATCCGGTTTTGTGCAGTTTTGACCTGACCATGCTTTTCAGGAGCCCAGTGTGCCTGGCTCTGACACACCCTTCCATAGACTCTCCAGGACAGGTGGAAATGAGATGGAGTTTCAGTTCATCATGCACCTGATTGTTTTCTAGATAGGACCTGTGGGTGGGATGGGGACTGGACGGGGAGAATAAGCTCTTGGGAGGGGAGAAACTGAAGTTATGGACAAGAGAATATAGACTGGGAAAATGGGATGTGAGGATGGAAAAGGGTGATGGGAGAGTGATGGGGAGAAGCAGAGGAGAGGGTCTGCCAGGCTGGAGGGAGTTTTTTAGCAGATGGGAAATTTCTGGTCACTTTGAGCAGAAATGAAAATAATTATACCCAAGGAGGGTGAAGAAAGGCACGATGAAGATCCTGGTCTGCGTGCTATTGAAATTCCTCCCATCTGGCAAGGTCAGACTCTAAAAACAAAAATGTTTAGTCAATGAGAAAGATTGGTCAGGAAATGACAGGATGCAAGCTTTGTAGTTTGGGGACGTTGCCATGGTTACCTTGATCCAAGCGCTATTCCGGGAGCTGCAGACATAGCTGTAGTCAAGGCTGAGGACGTCCCCCTTGAATGGTGCTTCCGCACTTGTGGGAGAAACATGGCCAGCGTCCAGCATGGAGAGCAGGGAGAAGGTGGAGAGGCAGACATCGCACAGACACTAGATCTGGGGCTGGAAGGGAAGAGAGTGGGAAGCTGCTACTCGGGCTGAAGGTTAAGTAATCCTAGGGTGCTGAGGGCTAGTGATCCTGGGGGTGGCCATGTTGTTTCTCTGCGCTGGTACCTGGTACTTGCCCAGAGAGAGGCCCAGCCTTTGTCCTCCTGGTGAAGGCTCCTCCTGCCCTCCTTCATCATTAAGACATTGGCAACTGGAAGGCCTTGTTGCCAATGTAAGGACTTCCCTAGAAGGAAGACTTCTGCAGGCCCAGGGCCCCCCATGAACGGACGACCCCTGTCATCAGGCTCGATTTCGTAGGACACAGGAGGCAGAGTCAGCAGCCATCTTACTTTACCTGCAGAGACCTAGGCAGGAAATGAAATGAGCTGTCACAACCCGCATTTATGAGTAGACTTTCCTTTAACCATAAAAAAAAAAAAAAAACCTTCTAGAAGTTAAAAAAGTGTAAATGCGGATTGATCTAACATTTTTTTAGGGCCATTGTCCTAAAATGTAAGTTTAACATTTCTGCATCCCTGCCGGTTATATAACTTAGTTCCAGGCAAAGAGCATGGTATTTAGAAACATCCGGGCTAGACTGTGAGACCTCCCCCTGCCCCCATACCTTGCCTTTCACTTCAAACTCCAGTGCAGAGCCCTGATCAGGAAGTGTGCCCTCAAGTCCCATGCTTATCTCATAATGTGAAATACAGCCCCAACTTTAAAAGCCCTCAAACCTTTAACAGCTCTCTTTAGAAGCCCAGAGTCTCCTAACTGGGAGTTCCTATAAAATACTGTTAAGCTTCTAACATAGAATGGCACGGAACAGACGTTCTTATTCCCAAAGGGAAGACTCAGTGACACAGCAAGGAATTGTCACATGAAAACAAACCCCAGGCTCATCAGGGAAACACCAACTCCCACAGCTCCATGTCCAGCATCTGGGGCTTAGAACAGAGTTCTGGGCCCCAAAGGGCTTGGGTAGCCTCTCACCTCGAGCTCTGCACCCATAGCCCCTGCAGAATCTCCAATATCCTAGGGTCTCTATTGCAGGTGTGGCTTCATCATTATGACTCCATGAAATGGCTTCTCAGGGGCCCTCTGCAGGGGCTCCAACAATGCCTCGCCTTAGCAGCTCCCACGACCCTGTCAGTCTTGCATCTTTCATGCCTTCAAAACCAGCACCATGTGGGTGGTGCTTAGGGCATCGCCGAAGTCTGCTCCTGGGTGGAGATGTAGTCTGCCTGCGTAAGTCTCTACTGTTCTTTGCTGCTGTGAAGGCTAGGCTAGTTGGCCTGTGAGCTTCCCTGGGAGTTTTCTATCTCTATATTCCATTTCCAGCTGGAGTAGTGTCAATACAGATGTGTGCTACCTAATCTGGCTTCCCACATCTGTTCTGGTGACTCAGCTCAGCTTGTCAGATCTGCGTGGCAAGCTCCTTACTCAAAGTCCAGGAGTTGCATTTTATTTTATTTTATTTTTAAATCTCTGCCCCCCCCCCGTATCCAGTAATGAACATTGGGTAATGATGATGCTATATATGCCAATCATTCTTAAGTAAAACAGTTCTCTTGTTTTGAGACAGGGTTTCACGTAGCCCAGGCTGGCCTGGAACTGGCTATATAGCCAAGGATGACCTTGACCATCTGATCTTCCTGCCTCTGTCTCCTAAGCTTGGGATCACAGAAGTGAGTCACCACACCAGGCTTTTGAAGTGTTGGGGGGGGGGGGAGCATTAAACCCAGTGCTTCATGAGCGCAAAGTAAACACTAACAATGAGATTCATTCCAGCCTCATTCTCTTGTGCTGAACTAACGGATTCAAGTAAGGCTTAGGAAGGTGAAACAATGTTGAAATAATGTCATCGTTGTAAGCAGACAACCCCAAAGAACGCCAGGAAATTAAGTGGAAAACAGAGCAAAACACAATCACCAGGAGACAGTCCTGATGCATATCTAAAAACGACAACAATTGCCCATTTTCACAGGAAAATTCACCCGAGACCCTTACTTTGGAACTTGTAAGTTTGAGGCCAATAGAGCACAAGGAAGTATGGGCAAACCCCCTTTGATGATGGGTGAGGGAGGCAGGCTAGCCAGAGAGACAGCTTCCTGGGACACTGGCTTTACCTTACACCCAAGTAAGGACAGCAGATGTGACTTCAGTGAGGTCCAAGGTACCAGAGTTGATGGAATCTAGAAAGCATCTTCCTTGTTACTGATGAGGCTGGTGAATCTATGTCTCCCACCTGTCAATTCTGGCTTTGTGTTCAACTACCAGGAA